ACTTTTCAGGTGTGTAGACTGTCCACGCATTTTAGCACCGAGACCGCCTCGACCGTCCAAGATTCCCTTAGCAGAAGAGTTCAATGTGCAGATTGGCTTGGATGTTTTCCAGGGGAAGGATGCAGACGGACAAACATGGTGTTGGCTGAACGTTCTTTGCCAGGCTACCACTTTCCAAGTGTGCTCTTTGCTTCAAGACAATCCCACATCAGCGTCAGTGTTGCAGGCATTTGAGACGAGTTGGGCAAGCTGGGCTGGATATCCAGAGTATGGTATTTTCACGGACAGGGCGAAGTACTTTGTTACAGACTTTGCAGACGCTCTGGCAAGTGAAGGTTGCCATTTTGATACTTCGGCTCGTGCCAGTCCATGGCAGCTCGGTCAGATAGAGCGACATGGCGACATTTGGAAGGGGATCTTGAAGCGAATGGTCTGGGGTGAGCAGCTGGCAGGCAAGGACGACATGATCCACGCAACCAGCGCAATCAATGCAGCAAAGAACAGTTTAGTTCGCAAGGCCGGGTTTAGCCCAAGCCAATGGGTATTGGGAAGGTCGATTAGATTGCCGGCTGATTTGACAGACGATGGAGAAGCAGTACGTCTTGGAACACTGGCACTTTCGGCCACACCCAGCAGCCGCTTTTATTACAAGAGCAAACTTCGGTTCAGCGCAAGAGAAGCTTTTGTGAAGGTTAGCAACAGCGAGGCTTTGAAACGGGCGGAACTTCGTCAGGTCCGACCTTCACGAGGCCCTTTTCCAGTTGGCACCTGGGTTTTCTATTACGATGCATCAGATCAAACTCCGGGTCCCCTTTGCTGGAGAGGTGTAGCACGTGTTATTGGACATGAGGGTTCGCACGCAATCTGGGTTTCGCACCGCGGCATCATCTTGGCAGTCAGTCCCGAGCAGTTGTCTCTCGCATTTCAACAGGAAGTGGAGCAATGGACAACTTTGGGTGCTGAGATGGAATTGTTGGACAGCCAGCCACCGGCTGGTGGTACTGGGTTCATTGATCTTCGGCGCAAACCAAAGCCGCCAGCTGAAGGTTTCCCTGAAGTTGAAGATCAAGAGGAAGACCAGCCAATGCTGCCCGCTCAAGATGTTGCAGAACCGCCTTCAGATGCTCCTGCTGGAGACGATGAACTAGCTCGTGGTGAGCCACCAGCAGGTACAACCGGGTCTGTTCCCGAGTAGCCAGCTTCAGATGCCACCGAAGATTTGTCAGCGAGCTCAACGTCCATGGGACGGATACGCCTGGAAAGTGAACGTGACGCGAGGCGAGCAGTAAAGAGTTCAGCCTTTTTCAAGAAGAGAGATGATGCTCGGAGAAAGAAACGAGGTGAAGAACGCAAGAAGTATCGTTCTGAACTTCAGTCTCCGATGCTGGACCCCGTTTTGGTTCCTGTTCCAGAATACGATCCGGACGTTGATGATTATCATCAAGCTCGAGTTCCAAAACGCCCTCCGGTGTTTCCAAGTACACCAGGAGAAGAGGCAGATGAACGCGAGGCCAAACGACTTCGTGGCGCAGATGAGGAGCCAGATGATGCAGCCCTTTTCGCTTACCTCGTCGTGGAGCAAGAAGGTTTTCTCATCCATGAGGCTAAGAAGAGATTCTATCAGTCGGAGGAATCTTATTCAGCTCTTGGAGTGTCAATTGATGACTTTCTGTTTGGTTTTCGGAGGAACGTCTTCGAAGAGAAATACCTCGCCATGTACGAATATGCGATGGGCGCAAATGCCCCGCCTGCGAATGTCAAGAAAGGCCGCAAGGAACTTCGACTTGCAGATCAACCAGCAGATATCAGGGAGAAGTTCACGGGAGTTGGTGGATCCGATGACCGTGAATGGCAAGCATGGATTTCCAAGGACGCATGTGAAATCGTGGATGAAGCAACAAGTACTCAGATTCGCAGTCAGAGGCCAGACCTGGTCATTCCAACACGTTGGGTTCGTACCAACAAGCACGAGGGTCTGGAGGGCAAGGAGTTCCTAGCGAAGTCGAGATTGGTGGTGCAGGGTTTTAAAGACAAGAGCCTGGGCCACTACAGACGGGATGCTCCGACAGCCAGCTCGATTGCCGAAAGCATTTGCCTTCTGGTTTCAGCGCACATGGGATTTGTCTTGATCAGCAAGGGCGTCAAGAACGCCTATTTCTCAGGTCGCAGCTTGGATCGAGAAGTGTACCTTGAACAGCCGAAGGGTGGACTTCGTGGCGTTCAGCCAGGTCGGTGGCTGCGAGCTCGGAAAGCCATTTATGGCTTCTCAGAAGCCGCTCGATTGTTCTGGGTGGCATTGAAGGGACATCTGGAATCAGACGGATGGCGAGAGTCACGACTTGAACCAGCACTGTTCTATTTGAGAGAGCCCGACAGCAAGGAGCTTTTGGGAATTCTGGTAACCCATGTCGATGATCTTGAAGGTGGAGTCAAAGAAGAGTACATGGTATCAGCCTTCGAGAAGTCAGCCAAAGCCTTGGAGTTTGCTACAAACCATGCAAGAGATTTCATTTTTCGTGGTCGGGAAATCAAGCAGCATGCTGATGGACATATAGATGTTTCCATGCGGAACTATGCCATCAACACCAAGCGGATTCACATCGCAGCAGCCAGGAAAGCGCAAACGCAGAGTTCTTTAACGGTTGAGGAGAAGATGAACTTGGTTGGTTGACGCGGCAGCTACGATGCGATCTAGCATATGAGAACGGTGTTGCGCAGCGCAGCAAGCGTTCAGCGTGTGTGGGCGACTTGATTCGACTTCGACAGTATTTGTCTCAGGCACGTCGCAATGCAGATTTCAGGATGCGGTATTGGTCAGATGTCAATCTGAGCGATGCAATAGTTCTCTTATTGGCCGACTCAGGCCATGCCAATGGCACGCCGGAGAAGGATGATATCCTTCGATATCGAAGTGTTGGAGGTTATTTCGTCTTGGTGTGCAACAAGGAGGTCCTTGAGGACCAGCCTGCAAGAGCCAATATTTTATGTTTCCACAGCAGCCAAACAAAACGTGTGTGCCGGTCGACGCTAGCAGCAGAAGCTTCGCATTTAGCAGAAGCCGTCGAGGCTGGTGATTGGTGCATTTGTTTGTTGGAAGAAGCTCTTACAGACCAGCTGAATCTTAAAGATTGGCCGGAAGCTATTCGCCGGAGGAAGAGAGTGTACGTCACGGACGCTAAGAGCGTTTACGACTACTTGCATAAAGATGCAACTTCCACCAGCACAGACAAGCGGATGGCGATTGAAGGGGCTTTATTGCGGGAGACAGTCAGGCAAGAGGGAGCAGCAGTTCGTTGGGTTGACGGAATGCAGAACATTGCAGATGTTTTGACCAAAGCCACAGCGGATAAGACTTTTCTGAAACAGTTCCTTCGAGATGGTATGATTAGCCTTGTGCAGAGCCCGGAGAATCGTGCCTTGAAGGAGAAGAAGAGAAGTGAACGGCAGAAACGATCTGCCAATTCCAAAAAAGCCTGAGATGAAGCTGAAAGCAGACGATGCCCGCAGGCAAAGACTGGCGGATGAGATCGCGGCAGAGGGTTCAAGCACTTCAGATCAACAAGAATAAATACACTGGTGTGAGAGTTGCCAGCAGAAACCAGGTATTTCCAGGTAGCAGCCTGTGATCTGAGTGCATGTGCTTGTGGAGGCTTTGCTCGGCCCAAACCACAACGGCCCCCTGCTCATATGAGCCTGGTCAACAGGTGGCGATCGGTCCATGTCAGCCTTGGCAACGCGGGACGACCATCATAGCAGCCAGACACAGCAGTCAGCAGATTAGATCATTTACCAAGCAGTTGCATGACATGTTTCACTCAACATACCTTTCGTTGCTCGTGTGGTGAAAACAGCTTGCGCTACCACTGCCAGTGCTTTCGCAATATATATAGGTGCGTATATTTCTTAAGGGACACCTTTTGAGGAATGTGTTGCTCAACATGTTGACACACTAGATATTGCGGGCAACATTTCGGGGATGCCTAATTTGATTGTCTTTGCGGATACTTTTGAGAGATACATAGTTCAACCTTGCCCTCCCGGGCCATCCATCTAGGGGCTGATTCCTTTTCCATTCTTTTCAACCATCGTTCTTTTCAATAACCGGATCCGTTGTCAACCTGGGTTTCCGGCGGTTTTCTTGCAAGATTCGGATCCCTGGAAAGAATGGTTGAAAGCTACCCTTAGAATCTATTCGTCGAAAGCTTTCACTTCGAACACCCTCACCCAAGATCTCCTGAGCCTTTCAATGCAAGACGCAGACACCTCCAATGCGCGCATGCAAGGTGTTTGGGGCTTTCAAAGGGGGCCCCAAATCAATCGAGAGCGTCCTTTTGTATATCAAAAGCCTTTTGGGTATGTCTCAAAATAAGGGACCCCCCCCCACACAAAAAGAGAAAACACAAACATGGAATTTGTGATGTTCGTTTCTTGGGCCCCTTTCAAACCAACCTACAAATAGTACCTGCACAAAAAGGCACTTTTTTGTAGAAGAAAAAGGCACCGCCCTCTCTGAGAATTTCTGAAACGTAGGGTCTGCTTCCCTTATGATTTTCAACCAGTTCTTTTCCAGAACCAACTCTTCCTGAGAAGATGGGATCCCTGGGCCTGGACTCTCCTGACCCGAATCAAAAATGGTTGCTCAGACTACCCAAAAGAAACTGGGTCCCCCAGCAATTGGTGCCCTTTTACCAACCTTTTTGGGGAGGGCTCCCCTACTAAAGTAGACTACAGAAAAAAAAGGGGTACTCTTCTTCTAACCTCTCTACTGGAGGACCTAGGAAAGATTCGGGTCATGACCGTCCCCATTTTCAAAGGGTCAGAAGGAGACTCTAAACAAATGTCAAAAGTGAACCCGGCATCTCGCAACGAATCTCTTTCCCGTAAAAAAGCCATTTGTTCAAAAACCGACATTTCTCTGAAATGGGAGCTCAGTACTGAGCCAATTTTGAAAGGGTCATATGGTCTCCGACTAAGTCGATTCAGAATGGTCGGACCTCGAGGTGTGCTCGTGCCGGTGGAGTGCCATCACGTGAGCATGGACGCGCTCCCCGGGACTCGAGCTCGCTTTTTGGTGGCGATGAAACTCGCGGCGGCGGCGCAAACGGCCAGGCAGGGGAGAGAGAAGTCTGTTCGGGGTTGCCGGGCTCCTTAAAAGAAATTCATTTTGCAACCAATTTGAAACATGTTGCTTTTTCAACACCAAAATAAAGGGCTCCTTAAACGATGGCCATTTTGCAACCAGTTGAAACAACCAGTTGAAACATGTGGCTGTTTCCACCAAAAATGTAAAATAAATACACATTTTGCAAACGTTTGAAACATGTTGCTTTTTCAACACCAAATAAAGACAGGGAAACAACCATTTACAAGTTGCAATGTTCAGGTGTTTTTCATGTAAGGATCCCTGTTAGGGTTGCCAGCCCCGATGACTGGTGAAAACATTTTGGATGCCGAATCCATCTCGGCAGTTTTTGGTTGTCACAATCTTTGACACCCTCAAAGGGGCAGCCACGGCAGGGATCCTAAGGAGAATTAAATCCCAAAATCCCCCTGCTGTACATGGCTTTTATCTGCTTAATAATATGTTTGATTTTCCCCTGTTGGTTTTAAAGGCGATCTATCACTACTGGAAATACGTTTTCTGTTTTTGCTTTTTTGTGTTTTTCTTTTGGTTTCCTGGGGTCTTAACCAAATGGAAGCTTGAAAAGAACACCACAAGGAAACCACCCATTTTGGGTGGATGGTTGACAGGGAAGCCGAAAGAAAACCCACCACTTTGGGGGCCTGACACAATTCAGACAAGCTCATAGTTTGTTTTTGGCAAAGGGAATCTATCACTGGGATTATATGCTTATTTCCAGGAGGCGTATCGGCAAATGGAAGTTTGGAGGATGGAACAGTCAGCTCGGTTTACGGCGAAGCTTCGTTGCACAGCTTGGGCCCTAACCTAACCGCACTTGAGGAGTGTCCTCCAAGCGTCCTTCAAGCGGCAAAACTGTCAACCCCCTCTTTTCGGCGGCGCCGTTTCGGCCATTTGCTGCATATGTGGATGTGGGTTCTCCCAAATTGTTTTTCGCCTCACCCAGGCCAAGCTTTCCAGTGACTTTCCTTCGTTGGGGTGCTGACGTTGCCAAGAGTTAGCTGTGTGTTATTGCTTGGTTTCGAAACTTGGCATGTTTACCTGTTGAAGTCCCGCCGTGCTGGTTCAAGGCCTTCAGTCAACTTCAGTCTTCCGAAAGGCTGGCCACTGTCAAAACTGGAGAGTGGAAGATGATCCATTGGGTCAAGGGTGGATGTTTGGCGCGAGTTCCCGATTCAGAAACAAGGGTACCTAGACTCTCCATGACCCTTTGAAAATTGGGTCATTACCCAAAAGAAACGGGTCATGACCCCAAGGGTCATGGAGAGTCTAGGTAGCAACCCGCATACCAGAAGCAACACCGGAAGGGGCCATTTTGTCACCCAAAAACTCACAGGTCAAAGATGGGCTAGGGCCTTAAATTTTGGATTTTCCTCCCCCCAAACACCTCCGTAGTGGAGGGGTCGGGTCTTCCATTGCAAGCCCCAGCCTTTGGGCCGAAAGATCCATGGGGCCTCAGGCTCCGTGAAAATAGCGAGCCTCTGAGCGGCTCCGGGCGACAAATACTTGTTTGTGCGATGCGAGGACCGCCAAGGAGGAGCTGGTCTTGGAGTTCGACGCCTTCTCTTTCAAAGTCCGAGGCGAGATTTCTGGACCGCCGCCGGAGGGCTCCATTCGGACGGATTCCTCCAGACATCTCCACCTAGAGTCTCCTTCTGACCCTTTAAGAATGGGGTCCATTTGACCCGAATCTTTCTGATGGGTAACCAGCCATGTTTTAAGGCTCAGAAGGAGAGTCCAGGCAGACCTTTCTTTCTTGCATCCGGCTCGAAACCTCGCTGGGATCCGGCTCCGGCTTTCGATCTCTGAGGCTCCTCCAAGCCTTTTCAGCAAGCCTTCGGCGGCGGGGGGCGGCGGAAGGTCACGGAGTTCCTGACGGAGGCCGAGAGACCGAAACGGGGCGAAATTTGGCGCGTCGAAAGCGTCTCAACGGAGGCCATAGCTCGAATCGACCCGATCTGAGCTTTTGTGACCTGTTGGGTTTCGCTGATTTGTGTTTTTTCTTTTTTTTTTCCCGTCTTGGTTTCAAAAGGTGACCACCTGTTCTTCCCAAGTCCTTTGGGCAAGTGAGGCGTTGGGGGAACGAGAGCCCAGTTGTGCAAGGCTGCATCCTTTTGTGGCTACTCGTTTTGTCCTCATTCGGGTATGGAGAAAAGGGGTCAGGAGCCAAAGGAATTCTCGATGACCTCATGCGTTAGACGCTCGCTACTCATTGCTTCAAGTTGGGGCTTTCGCCCACACGTAATCTGATCTGTTTCGTTGGCAAACATTTGACGGGCCATCCAACAAGTATGTTGCGCACACTTGTTGCTTTTTGAGAATGGCTCCATGTTGCTTTTTGACTTTGAAGTGGCCTCATCAGGATAAACGATGGATCTACAAAATGAGCCGTTGTTCATCTTTCATGCCTAACAAACCGAACCGCAACACCATATTCTGACCAGAACCCTTGCAGGGGTGCCTGCAGGAGCTTACGCGCCTTCCTGGAGTTTCTTTTGGGAGGAGACATCCAAAAACCGCCTTCTTTTTTCGTGCGGATCCTCTAACTCAGATAGGACAGGGACTAGGTGCCCCAGCGAAAGAATTGGTGCCCTTTTACCGTAACTTTTTTGGTTGGGAGATTCGGTTCCCCTACTATAATAGACAAAAAAAGAAAAAAGAAACGGTACCAACTTCTTCTATCCTCTCTACTGGACCCAGGGGAGCCAACCGGCAATGCATCCTTTGGACCTGCAGTACTCGGACCTAAGGCCCATGTGCCAACACCCAGAGAGCCCTTGAAGTGGTTGTTCCAGCCTCACTCAGACTACCTTGCAGATCCATTGGGGTTCCATGGGACTGCATTCTAAGTCCAATTGGCATCAAAGAATAGAATATCCCAAAAACGGCTCCGGCCCCCTACATGGTTGTCGTTGGGAAACATTTTCCCATTTTTGTTTGTTGTGGTTGAGTGGTTGAAATCCAAATCCACTTAACTGCTAAAATTTGTGCTCCCCAAACCCAACGTCAACCAAGTACTTAGCACCCCCTCCATTAAAAACCCCGGAGGTGTTTGGGGTTCTCAAAACCTGGCCATTTGAGGGCCCTAAATACCTCGAGAGCCTCTGGGTGGTTAAAACTACGGCGCTGAGGCTCAGTCTCATTTTTCTGACCGCAGGACAGCCAGGAGTTCTTCAAGAAGCAGCTGACCGCCAAGTGCGGCTCGGCGATCCGTGATCCGAGTATCTCTCGCTTGTCAGATCGGAAGGATGTAACTTGTTCGGCTGTGTTTTTTTTGTCGGGGGGGTGTTGGCTGTAATTATTTGATGGGAGCTGCTTTGGAGATGAAACCCCTCCATGTGCCAGCTGATGTTTAGGAACGTACCTTCTGACGGGAACCATCCAAATCCCTGTGAATCACGCGATGCCTGGATGTACCCTCCCTCCATTCACGGAGGCTGACAGGAAGGTGTGGGACGACGTTTTCCCCTCGTTGGCCCCCTGAGCGCGTCCATGATTGGAAACAGGTTTAAATGAGGGTTCAACATATGGGGGTGTAATCTGAGAAGCCCCGGCGAGGGACGGGTCCTTCCAGCCAAACGAGGGACGGGTCCTTCCAAAATATTGGAGCCCAAATCAGGTGCCATCGGATCTGAGGGCCTTGGAGGTAAGACAACTCTTAGATCCGCTTTCGGGGGTCGCTGTATGTTCCTTGGGGGCTTTAAACCTCACCCTTTGGGCAGATTTGTTTGGTGAGTGCCTCGGGAAGATTTTTGTTTGAGGGGAAATCTTTCGGGATCCCTCTTCGGCCTCAAAAATGCGTTTCGCGGATGCTTTCCGCGAACTCAGGCAATGAGTTCGCCTACTCAGAGCTGAATTCGGACACAATGGAGCTGCCCTTGGTCTTTGATTCCCAAAGCGGGAGGCGGGGAATGCGCGGGGGGGGGGGGGGGAATGCACGGACTTTTCGATTGGCCGCATTTGAAGGCAGTCACGTGGGGTGTCCAACCTGACCTGGTTGGAAGGGTTGCCGTGATCGACGAACACTTGGCTGCTACCTAGAGTCTCCATGACGCTTACAAAAATGGGGTCATGACCCCTTTCTTGTAATGACCTTATTCTTGGGTCATGGAGAGTCTAGGAACCAACACTTGGCTGCTCTTTGGATCGTTCGCCTTTAACTTGCTCGGAGATGGGGCGTCCCACTAACCCGAGCTTTGCACAGGGCCGAGCTTCTGGCCCAGCAATCACCACGGAACAAAGGGTCCCCTCTGGGGCTTCTGAGACAGCAGCTGTTTCTCGGTGGCCAGCCGTCCGGTTCCTTAGCCTTTGAGGCTTTCAGGGTTTGGTTGTAGTTTCCATTTGACCCACTAAAGCTTAAACTTTTAGCAGGGGATTTGAGCCCAGGTTTCGGAAGGCTGCGGAAAACAAGAACCGTTGGGATGTTCAATTGGGGCACTCATCGGTTGAGGTTAACAAATGCCTGCCATGTTGACGGGGCTGCGATCTTTTCGAAGTGACCCCTCAAGCATATCCATCTCCGCCTTGTGCATGTCCGGGTCATTTTCTCCCCCTCAGATTTGGGAGCACCTTGGGCCCTTTAGGAGTCGCTTTTTTATCGCGTTCCTGCGCCCGCTGTTTTCAAACAAAGCAGCGCAGCAGCCCAAATCTCGGATTCTGCACTTCTGTCTTTTATTTGGAGTTTAGGTTGCCTTCGTAACCTTTCTGCCCATCGGAGAGCGTGTCCACAAAGGGGCCCTAGTCCTGTAGACTTCCATTTTCTTAAGATATTTGATTTTGTTTACTTTCCCCTGTGGGTTTTAAAGGGAATCTATCACTACGTGACATATTTTTATTTTTTCCAGGGGTCCTAGCCAAATC